AAAGTTTGGCTGCACAGCTTTAAATCTTTTCGAAGTTGTTCACTTTTTTTGCCGCCTAGGGTCTCCAAGCTTGGATAGCGGACTCCAGTTGCGGTCGCACGAAGACTCCGAAGACTTTGGCGAAGCAGTCGTCATGGAAGGCAGAAAAAACTCGCTTGACGAGGTATAGAACCGATATCGCAGACTTGGTTACCTTTGCTCAACACAAGGAGGACTTAAGCGAGGACGTGATCCAGACTCCCAAGTCTTTCTGGGCTTTCATTGTTTTTAATGGTATGCCATTTGGTAGATAAAACATACGGTTTAATGGACTGATTTTACCGACTCGTATGATGTTGCACTTGCTCTCATTGAACGGCAAGAGCCAGTCCTTTGACCATCTCTGGGGTCGATTTAAATTTGCCTGCAAGTTCTCTTCGTCAGCCGCGGTTCGAATGGCACGCCACAGTTTGTTATCACCGGCAAACGTGGCGATACCACAACCCAGTTCGCTGACGCAATCGGTGATGTAGACAATGAGCAAAATAGGGCCGAGAACGGAGCCTTGGGGAACACCACTCTCAACTGCAACCTTGGCCGACTGTTTGTGGCTGGTATGGGCAGTTTGCGGGCGGCCGATTAGGAAGCTTTCTACCTATGCCAGAGGCCTACCTTTTACTCCTATGCGGCTGAGTTTATCAAGAAGGTGGGGGTGAGGCACGCTATCGAAAGCCTTTGTGAAATCGATGTAGACTGCGTGCACCATATTCCCTCTATCGGCTGCCATAGTTCAACGTTCGATACAGTAGAGTAAACTTGTTACGTGGGACCTACCTCTACAGAAACCGTGCTGGACGTCTGAAAGCAGAAGGTTTTGTTCAAGGAACTACAATGGTTGTTGATTGAGTATTTTCTCCATCATTTTGTGGCACATTGTTGTAAAGCTTACTGGTCGATAATTGTTGCGGAGACCCGGATTTCATCCTTGAACAGCGGCGTAATCCACGCGGATGTCCAATTGGCTGGTAGGCATCCGGTCTGAAAGGATGTTTGAAAAAGCGTAGGGGGTGATTTTGCCAACTCACTCACGAACTCTTTCAGCATCTTGGCCGGTACTTCATCGGGACACAGTGACTTAGATTCCTGTAACCCTAACAGCAGAGGATATTTTCCACCGTCTTCTTGAGCCGTAGGCGTCAAGCCTGTCCGATAGACTACAAGTGAGACAGGTGGAATGTCTTATATATTTAAACGAACGCTCCATCATTAATATACGCGAGCGCACTTCGCAGAACGAAAAGTTATCGTCTTGCGAGTTTCGCTGCCTTCGAAAGCGT